CTCCCAAGGAGGTTTTGAACAGCACATCTTTTGCCTTGCAGCTCACAGTGTAACCATGAGGCCACCAAGGCTCCTCCTGGTGACGCGGTGTGGAGGATAGGTAGGGAGTCAGGAGTGATTGCCTTGAGAATGGACAGAGTGTACGAGGTGGTGGTGAGTCTGAACTACTGTCTTCAGTGGCTTTACCTCCAAAGGGGAGCAGGAAAATGAGAAGTTGGAGGGAGATATGAAACCAAGGAGTTTTGTTTCCATCAGGGAGGTAGTGCAGCATGTTGAGGGGTCAGAGGGAGTGGTCCAGTCGAGGTGGCTATAACCAAGCCAAAGTCACTGCCACCTTTCAAACTCAGAGCAACCCGACAGGAAAGAGTAGGGCTGCCTCCGGGTTTCCAAGGCTGTCGATCTTTACGGAAGCACACCGCCACATCTTCCACCTGTGGCGTGGCTGGTAGGGTTGAACCACTGGTCTTTTGGTTAGTGGTTTTAACTACTGCACCACGAGGGCTCCTTTCACTCCCTGTGGTAGTTACGTAATCTGTTGTCAATTTGAGACTTAGGAGTGAAGTAGAGTTTAGCTTGTCAATCAGGTCACAGCTTGATGACCTCATTTGGAGGCACTAAGGAGATAAATAGCTCACTGGAGGCGGGACACACGCACACTCCCTGCAAGATATTCCTGTTGAGAAGACACATGGACCTACGCTAGAGCTGGAGAAGAAGGAGCCACGTGGAGACCCCTGCCATCGCTGAGATGCTTCCACTGCCCCTGGATCCAAAAGACTTTCCACCCACTGGCCTGTGATCTTCCTGCATTCGGCATCATTCCATGTAATTCATGAGTCTGAAGAGGAATTTATAGATTGGTATCAGATATATGGGCCAATATTGGACTTTAGGACTTGATCTACACTGGGCTGGAATGTTTTCTCAATATTCAGTTGTTCTTGTATATAGAGCCCTTTCTTTTTTATTTTTTTATAAAGCTTTTTCTTATACACATATGAGTGTCTATGAATTTGTTTCTCTAGTCTACCCGGAATAACATACTCCCTTTAACATTTCTGATCTCCCATGTTCTGTCTGGTGACTCAGCCTCTCTTGCCCCACACACCTGACTCACCTAACCTCGCTCTCTGTTTCCACACATGAAGAGGGATATGAAGGGACAGTGAGTGATTTGATGACAGAGAAGAAAGAGGTGAGTTTGAAAAATGTTTTCAAGAATGGAATAGCAGATTTGACAAATGTATTAAGTGTAATGGAGAGTACTTTGAAGATGATATGGTTGTTTTATTAAAAAAAATAATAATCATACCTTGGAGGGGAATTCTGGGATTACCCCCCCAACCCCAGCCAAAAAAAAGGAAAAAAGTTCTACTGGGTGGAGCTTTTGTAGTACACATTTTCCCCTTTAGGTGAGCATCCAGGAACTTGCCCTGAGTTAGTGCACCCAGTGGCATCACCTGGGAAAGTTCTTTCTG